TTAGCAACTATTTTAAATCTGTGTCCTTGGGTTACCGACCCACCCACCAGTGGAAATAGTTTCTCCTTGTTCACCTTATTGGATCCTCTCATAATTCTGAAAACTTCTATTATGTCTCCTCTTAACTTTCTCTGCTCCAAGGAGAATAATCCTAGCTTCTCTAGCCTCTCCTGACAATGCTTACAATCACAATCTATAAAATCTGAGCTGGAGCAAGGGGTGCTCCTGACCTGAAAGGCGTTATACAAATGTAATTTTGTATTTTATTGAATGTATTACAGTGGTATCTGTGCTCTTTAGTTGGCTTTAGGTTGATAGCCTCTTAAAGGATTAGAAGTATTTTTGTATTGTCTCACACAAATATGGTTTGAGGTTTGCTTGACCTAAGTAGTGTCACAAGACGTTGAGCAATTTTGTTTTTGTAATTTTTGGGGTTTAATCTCATCATCAAAGCTCAGTGCTGCAATTGTAAATCAGTGTCCAATGTAGGATAACTTAGAGATTTAAACGAGTATCTCTTTTGAGTTTAGGTTTTCTTCCATTGAGAAAAGGCACCAAAGCCCACAGAGCAAGGTAACACACAAAAGCAGAAAAGGCAACAAAATGCAACCTAACAAATAGTCGAGGTTGGGTGACGCCAGTTTGGAGGTTTCTGTAAAGACTAAGAGGAATTGATTTGGAATTTTATAGCACTTTATATATCAATGTCTCACAGCTCTCTACTATATTAATTGTCAACAATAATGACTGGCCTGTGTAGACAAACACAGCAGACATTTTTCACCCTGCATGGTTCGAGAAGTAACCTTGAAGTGGATTGCCAATCAATCTCGGGATCATTGTCTGGAACACAGAGGGAAATTTTCCCCTCATCAAACCCCACCATTCCCACCGCCCAGTTCAAGTGCCCAGTCAGCAGTGCTCAAAACTTGTTGAGGCATCTCTAATATGAAAGGCCCAATATAAATTTACATTTTCTGGGGCACAATTGGGAGAAGCAGGAGATGTTGCGGTGGTGAAATTGGCCTAAAAAATTAGATAAGGTTAAAGTTCGAATTGCTACATTAGTCTGTGCTGTAGAGATTGGCTTGTGTGTATTCGTTAACTTCTATCTGGACTGTTTTCCTAACTAGTTCATTTTTCAGTGCCAAGCAGAAAATAGATGGTTGCTTTAAAAGTCAAACAAGCCATCGTTTGTTTTGGCTGACAGATAGGTTCTAACCAACAGAACCAACCGCTCTCGCTTACTACGCAGCTAATGAGTGAATAGTCTCTTTCTTGGAGATGCCTTTTGTTTACGCTCTGGACTGCTACCCTGTGTGAGGAGCACTAAATAAATGGAAGTTGTTTTTATTGTTTTACTGCTCTATCAAGCTTGGGAGATTTTGGCTGAAAGGTCATGACTACAGTTTTGATGGATTGATTGTTTTTGCTCTGATTAGTTTGTTCTAAGTACAAACTGCACCCTGATCTTTTCTGTGTGACGGACCTGCATAATGGAAAAATTGCAGATATTTTCGTCTGCTTTACAAGATATTCAATACTCCATGGATTAACTGGAGAGTTTGCAACCTCAGCCTACAAGATTGGAGGAGCCCCGGAGGGACCCAGATCCTGAGTAGAAAGTTCCATGATTTAATTCATCTCGAAAGGAAATGGGAAAGAGCAAAAAGAGTTTAATTTCATTAACTTTGAAAGTAATTTGCGAGCCAACCTTTGAACCCCGGAATAAGCAGCTTATTCCGAGGTTACACAGCGGCTGCTCATGTGCCCAGAAAGGCAAAGGAAGCTTGGATATCACTGCTTACCGTTTAAATGTTTGTTAAAGGATGGAGCAGTGAATGAAAGTGACAAGCTTGATAATCCTCTAACCAGCTTTACATACAGTGAATTTAGCATCTCACCAACACAACTCTCTGAAGCACTGTTTCCTGGAGTGCGCACACTTGAATGTGTTTGGATTTGTGGTGATGATAACTCTATATCCTATGCGGTCCTTAATGTTAAATGCAACAGGAAGTAAAATGCTTAGTGTTTTCTCTCCTCATCTCATTAACAGGCACAATTATGCACTGGGAAGGTAGTATTGTAGTACTCAAGTACTGTGCATAAGTGAGTCTGCCTTTAAGGATGAACCTAGATAGGGAGTGTCAGTGGGAGGAGAGGTGGTAGCATGGGAAAAGATGACCACAGGCAAGACCGATCCTGTTCTTACCCACATGCGTACACTTTCTAGGAGGTGTCACTGGGTGGCAATCAGGAGCAGGAATCTCAACTGCTTTTACTTTCTCTCTTCCCCTCTACTGTCTTGAGAACTAATTATAATTGGTTAATCCACCACAGGGATTAAATGAACACAGGCAGAAGGTGAAATCTGGAATCTTCTGGTAGCACACTGTCAGACCTTTTTACCTGCTGAGCCACAAGGTAGTCTCTTGCATACAGTGAACAGTAGCAGTGGCCTCCCAGCAATGTGAACCACTTTGTACCATGCCAGTCCACAGTATGATTTCAAAACCTGCAGCGCCAGCAGCATCTCAACTTGCTCACCTCTGAACCAAGCAACATCTACACCCGCTCGCACTGTTATCGCAAACTGCACCCTGATCTTGAGCTGTCAGACGCTTAAGCATCTGTTGACTACTTCAGACTCACTTCTGTTAAATAATAATAATCCTTGCATTTGATATAGAGTCTTATCTGTCATACAATGTTATGTATGTATAAGATATTGTGTTGCTTTATTTCATCCATACTCTAGAAATGAATATGCAGTATTGCTAGAGTTTAAATAGGCAAGCTCATAGTAATGGAAAGTGACGCCTAAGGATGTGGCTATTAGCCATCAAAGGCAGACAACATTCCTTCGGCTGAGTTTCTGCCAAAGTTGCAATTGGCACCGAAGGGGAATAATGGCTAGCTGTGAGGTTAGCAGAACCACTGAATTGGCCCTTCTCTATGCTTTGATTCCTGTCATCGACCAGTCTCAGTGAAACAGTGAAGGTCCCTGACCTTTGTCGCACTTGTCAAAAAAACACTGCCTTATTTCCTCTCTCCTTGACTTCAAAACTCTCCCCAAAAAATCATATTTTCGACAGTGCTCAAGTCACGTTCTTTGGTGTTGTTCCATAACGTGTGAAGAAGCACCCAGCACCTTGAGAGTTCCTCCCAGCATGAAAGGTGCTATATAAATATACATTTTTATGAGAAGTTCATTCTTGGCTCTATGTATACAAATTGTTGCAGTCGGGCAGGAAGTCACATTACGTCTGACAGGAATCACACCCACACGCAGTGTCCACGGGAAAGGCACAATCCTAAACGCTTGAGTAAATCATAAATCAATTTTAAATACACAAGATGCTTACAGTGCCAGATGTTCGTGGGTGTGAAGCTAATTCTAAGTTATGACTTTTTATTTTTGAAGGTTGATATTCTTTGTTTCTTCAACAGATCTTGTAATTAGAAATGTACAAGTTGTCATTCTGAGGTCCTGCTCTTTATTGCTTTTTGTCGTACGCCAGTTGTTTATCACTCTTGACATTTCCCAGATGAAAATGCATCACAGATTCCAAAGCCAATGCCTTCCACGTGATCCTGTTTCTTCCGCCTTCGGAAAGGCCCTTGGGGAAGAAAACATTAATCCTAGTTCCTTGCCTTCAGTTTCTGTGCCAATATTTCTGAATTCAATCTCCTGTTCCAGTGGGGGCCAGAATCAGGCTAAAACAAACCAAGCCAGACAATTGTTGCACCAAGATGCTGTTGAAGAAGATTGGGGTTAGAGCCCTTTTAAGTGGGTTCATAATGAGTGGCTTTTTAATGTTTAAATCTGAAAGCCATTTGGAATTGGTGTCTGCTGGAGGGGAAATAAACAAGTAAACAATATTTGTTTTAAAAGTTGACTTTTTTTTAAAAAAAACAACTCGTCTGGGCTTCAATGATAGAGTTCCAAGCTTTTCTAATTTAAAAAAAATGCATTTTCAGGTGCAATAAACGTCAAAACATTTTAAAGCACTTTAATTTAGTTGGAGGAATATTGGCTGGCGCAATGATAGAATCTCCCTTCTCTGCACATTATATCCCGGTCCTCATTGAGCTCAAGTTGGGAGCAAGCAGCATATGCACCAATGTGTGACTGAGAGAGGAGAGAAGTGAAAGCTTTATTCTTTCAAACTTTGTGTTTGTTACATCTTCTTACTGACTGATATTTAATGGGACACGCTGAGGTGGAGGTGCGTGTATGTGAATATTTAATGTCTTTATGGCAAACTGTTTACTGGCAAAAGCTGCTCTGTTTCATCTGGAAGGCATGATCTTCATTAAATAACTAGTGTGTATCTGTATACACACTTGTAAATCCATTGAAGTGGTGTTCTGTATAACTTGGAACACACAACACAGGGAATGATGGATACAAACGAGAATAATATCCTGTAGGAGTGAAGAGTCCTGTAGCTCAGTAGTAGAGCACTCGCCTCACAAGTAAGAGACCTGGTTTGATTCCTGGCAGGGAGAAACCTTGGGTTTCCTTGCTCCACACGCCTGATTATATTCCCCCAAGAGAGAAAAAAACAATAATAAAATCGGTCACTTCAATCCACAACTGTTTGTGGGACACTGCTGGGTGCGTTTCGCCCACAAGCATACAGTCAATTTACTTCACAGCATATCCTGTGAAGCGCTTTGAGATGTCTAGAAGATGTGAAAAGCGCTATATCAAATGCAAGGATTATTATTTTATTATTATATCAGTGTTGGGGGTAGAAAGTTCTTGGGAATGCCTAGAGAGGCTAAAGCCTTTTTTTGTTCAGACAGATGTCTGGCACATGCAGAAACCCATCACATGTTATGGGAAAATGGTAGGGTGGCTATTCTGAGAAGACAAGATCAAATGGTGCAAAGGGCTTTCTTATTTAAACCTCTTTTGTTGGTGGTGAATGATTAAAAAAAGGACTAAATTAAGTAGATAAACTTAAGATTTTCCTTAACCTCCTGTGTACATCGAAAGTTCTCCGTATGGATCAGTTTACCTTTCCCCACCACCAGATACAAGTTGGAGAAGGTAAGGTTAAATCTTGTTTGCTTTCAATGAGTTGCACTTATCTGAATTTCACTATTCAATGCCTGTTTTTCCTGTTTACATTTTCTCTGCATTGATTTTGTATTGTTGATCATTTTCATAACTTTCATATCCGTGAATTTCTGTTATTTCCTAAAAGAAATTTAAAAAGTCTTCTTAGAGTAACAAGTTGCTATTGGTCTCTGGATTTTCTACTGGCAGAAGTTTGATGTCAGTATGAACTACTATGAATCATATCATCACATCCGATCATTTGGCATTTATTTCACAAAACAGAATTCTTTGTAAGTGAAGATATCCCAAAGCCAACCCACTTTGCAACCCACACAAACCACTTTGTAACTGCTGCAGAGTTGTGCAAAGTCCTATTGATTCAAGTGGTAAAGTTAGGTCTTAGAGTCATAAACTAATGAATGAATCATTTTAAAACACAGATAACTTCTTTGCTCCCCCCCCACCCAAGGCACCATTGAGTTTTCTGTGAATCAAGTGAATGAAAGTGCAATGAACCATTTTTGCAATTTGGTTGTAACCCAGTTTTAAATTTACTGTTAAAAAGGGAAAGGGGCGGAAATATTTATACCTTTACCTTGCATATTCACCAAGATTAAAGTGATGAGCTTTCTCAACTGAAGAGCTTTGCACTTTAAATCAAAAATAGGTTCCTCTCATAATCCCAGCCCTGTTTACTTAATTGTAATTACATTTTGGTTTACAACTGGAGTTGCAGAATAAACTGTTTCATATTTCTTGGAATTGCTCTGTGATAGAGAATTGTGCCTGTACCAACTGATTACGTTAACTTTCCACTGGACAGTTGACATGCAGTTAGGTGTAATCCTGCCATTGTTTACAACCCTGCCTATTTATGACATCTTGTGGGAAATGGCAACCACTATTCCCAGGGGCTGGCGTGAGAATGAAACTTCTGTTAGAAGCATGTCAACAACAACAAAAAGGAAAGGTTGCTGTGAGTTTTTTTTAACAAGTTGCCTTGTATACATACCAGTTTGGTTCGGGCCCATGAATTACTATAAAAATGCTTGTGTTTTAGATTTTTTCATACTATAAAGCAGTTAGATTGTTTTTTAAAATTTGACATCTTGTGTTAATTATATTCTACATTGTGTTTTCATTCCTCCAATGATATAAATGTAGCTGTTACTAACTCCTTCTATTAACCAGGCCACTCGCTAAACTTCATATGCTGGATTGTACTAACTACCTGTTAATAACTAACAAACGTTGTTTGTTTATTGATTACAGCAAAATTTATGCTGTGTGTCTCTTGGTTTCAAAGTGATAACTTCTTTTCAAGCTTCTTTTACTTCTGGAAATTAAATTCACATCTGGGCCTGGATGAGGGGAATTAACTGTCTCCCTTCACTTCGTAAGTGCATCATTGCCTGGGATTGCAATACAAAAACAATCTTCTCAGCACAAATGGTACAGAAATCGTTTGCCTCCTTGACATTGCCATCATCATGGATGCAGCACACAGCAGGTTGACTCAAGTCTGCATGAAAATCATTCATTAAATGAAATTATATTTTCGATCAAGTGTGACAGTTGTGTGAAGGGCAGAACAAGGTGGCGGATATGAGGCTGGTGAAGTAACAGAATCCGCCTGGCTCCATGCGCCCCTCTATATCTGTTAGGTTTTAGTTTTGCATTTACTTAGAAACTCCCAGCAGGTACTTCATATTCTGTTCTCTTTGGGGGTGGAGGAGGGCAGCTCAGCATCTAAACAATTTCAACGACGAGTCTTAATATGTCCTGGCTTGAATGTCATAGATTAGTAACCAATGTGAGAATTAATGGTGGCTACCCCTCCTATTTCTCTCACTTACTCTCTGCTCTCTTGCTCACTCAACAACCACAACTTGCATTTATATAGAGTCCCTCACACAAGGCAGCGTCCCAGAGCCCTCGACAGTTGCGGAGCACGACGCCGAGCCAGGGTGCGTAACTGTATGCACGGTCAAAGAGGAAAATTTCAGGCACATATCTATCTTCCTCTCCTGTGCTCTTCCAGTTATAATAAATAAATAAAATAAATAATAATAAATAAATTACTGATTCTCTTAAAGGCCTGCTTTCAGTGGGTTAGCTATAGCCTATTGAAGCAGTCTGGGGATTCCCAACAGGTGAGAGTACATTAGTGAGTTATTTTATCCCTCCTGCAAATATCGTACATCAGATGTACCATTATGTTTAATAAAGTGTTTGCCCTTTCTCTGTGCAAGATGTTTGCTTCACTGCCTTGCGCCAATTTCTGCAAGTTGTCTTAAACTTTTAAAAACTCTGACCCTTGAAGCTATGTGTATCACAGAACATCATATACTTTTCACTGCAATTCCCCTCGAGTCTGTAGCTGAAAACCAGTTATATCAGAGCTGCAACATATGCCAAATTGTGGCAACGATGTATAATTGTATAGGGTTAGAGCACATTATAAGCTTTCCCCATAGCAATCTACTCGGAATCACCCCCAAAACAATTGCATAATACATTGCACCTTAATATTATCGTTTTCAAAGCTGGCAATCTGAGAAAAATTGGCTTTACTCAGATGTTGCTGGAATGTGGAATCCTCCCACAATATATTCTTGAAGCAGAGTCCATAAAGTTATATCCTTGGACAATACATCTTATGTTGGAGTGGAACTGTGTCTGGTTTGCACACTCTTAAGCAAGGCAATGAATGATGTTCTACGTGTATCAGACACCAAAACAAAAGTTGGAGTCCCCTCCGTGTACATTTTAACTAATCCTGGCTCAAGTTCTGTCGATAGAGCCACATTACCAACACGCAATAAAACAAATACAACAACATACGAACAATGCTGAATAAATAAAATTTCTGAATTTCTTACCAGGCTTCAATGTTCTCCCTTTCCCCGCCTCTCTTTCAGGGTTCTGTCTCTTTTACTCTGTTTTCTGTGGCTCCCACCTTTTCCTTGCCCCCACCTGTTTCTTAGTCCTCTTCTTTCATTTCACTTGCCAGTCAAACGATCCAGCATAGATTTAAGATCACCTTCAGACCAGTACAAAAATTAAAGGGATCTTGATGGGCATACAGATATCTAGATACAGGCATGAATACAAATCTCAATTGCAAGAGGTACATTTACCAGGCCTTACCTAGAATTTCTAGTTCTGACAGCTGGGGCTTAAGTACTGAACAAAACATATTCCAGAGATACAAATCCACCCTGGGTGGGGAGCCCTGCGATAACACAATGAAAGATCTTGGGTATCCCTGCCCATTTTCACCAAAAGGAAGCAAATATGACCAGTGACATTTCTTTTGCTTTGACATTATTGGCTTCTAATAAATCATAAACTCAGCTGGTGTGATTTTCTCTCTCTCTCATGATGCTTTCACTCGCTTACCACACTCCTCAGTAGAGAGTCAAGCCTGTATACAGTCTGAATCGAGACATTCTGTTTGTACCCTTTTCTCTGCTTTGTAAAGGAGTGTACCGCCGTGGTTCAATGAGGAGAAGCAGCCTGGATTTAGACTAATGTCGTCCCTCAACAGGTGAAACATTTCCTTCACAATCTTACCTCTTGGTGGGAATCTCTGACTCACTCATTCTCTTGCTTTCAAATTCACGCACACTGTTACTTTCAGCAGTAGTCTTTGAACCAGAGGAAGGGCTTGCTTTTGGCTCATTCCGACAATGTGTGCCAGCAATCCGTAACCCCCATCATTGCGAACGCTGGTTTATAAATACACTCAGGTGAGCCTTTTTTTTTTTTTTGCCCCTGTTACATTCTGACCTCCATCCTCAGCCACTTGGCAGAGTGGCTTTGAGTTTCCTCCACTCCTGTCCAGAATAACTAGTTACAGGAAAAGCGTCCAAGGTGACTCACCTTACTGCTGTTTCCTTTTGCCACTGCAGAGCGATGCTGAGGCTTCAGTCGGCATCTTGACGCAGCAGTGTGACTGGGATGGGAAATTCTGTGGCGTGTGTGCCTTTGTCACCAAATGGTGAACTGTTATCAAGCACAGAGCTTTAGGGCATTATACTGTGCTCATCAATGAAGTGTTTGGTTAGTTGGGTTTATTTGAATGAAATGTGTTGTATTGTTCTTCATAAATCAGGCCTAGAATTAGTTTGTGATAATTTGTACCTCACTGAAGCAATCAGATCGACATTAGTTGCCAAATGGGGTGAACACGAGCAGTTGCTGAGCATAGTGGATTGGTAACCTACACTTGTGCTCTACAAACAATGAGCTACATATTGATAGCTCAGAGGTCTATTTCCACAGGAGCAAAGTGCGATTCTATCAATATCGCACTATAGCCGGGTGCTTCGTATCAATTAATATTTATCAAGTTCTAGTGAAAATAAACACTATTCACACATTGGTATCCATCCTCCCTTTCAATACTCAGAATTCACACATGGAGACGTTGAAGTTTTCAACACAGCTGTTGGGTCCATTTTGTCTATACACGATCTATACATCTGAAATGTCGCCCTTTAAGTATTAATTCCCACTTTTCAGCTTTTTCACCCATATTCCTGAGTATTTTTACTGCTCAGATGTTTCTTCAGTTCACATCGGAAAAATTCTACTGTTCCACTTCAATAACAACTTGCAGTAAATTCACACCCTGGCAGGAGTGTTAAAGGTTAATGTGATTACTATGTGTCATTTCCTCTTTTTTCCCCATCCCTCATCTGTCCCTGTTTTTTAAAGTTTCATGAGTTAGAATAATGTTAATCAGGTGCGATGTCCAGTACTGCCCACTTTCCCCATTACAAGGGAATGAAATGAAAGGTGGGTTCAGAAAACTGTTTCCCTGTGAGACAGTTCAGCTTGGAGATGAAAATGCCACAGGAATACACAGCAGATTAATCAGCAACTGAGGCAGTTTTGAGTAATAGATTAGGTCTCAACCATTATCTTTGTTACTTAAGATCCAGTCACTGTCCTGTTTGGAATGTTTTCATTAAGTGTTTTCTACTTCCATTGAGGTTGGCGTGTCCATAGAGATCAGGATTATTTTTCTTGTTCAAGACATATCGTGTGAAATGCCCTCTCACTTTCTCTGTAGAACAAACTCAGATTCAGCTCTGCACACCAGCGCTCTGAATCCTAACCAGCAGGATGCCTTTCTTGGAGGGAATCAATTGATGCCACATCAAAGTCGTCGGAATGGTGAGCTAAGCAATTTCCTTTTGCTGTCTACGTGAAATGTCTACAGTTTGCACTTTCTATGTCTGCAAACATTTATTTTACTACAACAACTTGCATTTATATACACCCTTCATATAAAATAAAGTTGGAAAATGCTGGATAAATCGCATGGTACATTAAGCAGAGAAATGAGATTTAAAGATATTGACTAAAAGTAGAGACTTTGAAGCCAGAAAGCGAGGTTGCAGGGCCAAGTAGTTTTGGAAGAGATTTCGAGAATACAAGAGCAAAGTGGATGAAGGTGGATTACTGATGGTGGGGCCAAGAGTGGGGAGGGAGCAATATATGAGTCACAAGTGCAGAGTGAACAAGCTGCATATTGGGGCTGGAACAACTTACATAGGTGAATGGGGAAAGATCATGAAGACCAAGGGAAGGATTTATATAATAATAATCCTTGTATTTGATATAACGCGTTATCATGTTTTCGTGACATCTCAAAACGCTTCACAGAATATACTGTAGAATATATAAGTGAATTGACTGTTATTTTGTGGGTGAAAGGTGATCCTCGGAGATAATATGTGAGAACAGCACGTTTGATAACGATTGTCAGTATTTTACGTTCACTGAGAACTGTCCAGCATACGATTATATGTTTCCCCATTTATTTTCACAGCAAACTTTTATGATGGCGAGCTCGACAATATGGGGGAAGGTAAGCCTTGCTCTGCCTTATTCTATTTTAGGTTTATGGCTGAAATAATCATGGAAGAAAACCACTTGAAAGGAACTCTTATCCAGGACCTGAGATTGTTGGAATGGTCAGGGCCCAGTCCTGTTTTTTCAGTATCCACTGCCACTACTTCATTTCCGCCATTAGGGGTCACTATGAAGCCAAGTAAATGACGCAAGTGGCCTCCAATGCTGCACATACCTTCCTGTAGTGTATTGAATCATTTCCCTTGATCCATCAGAGGTGGATGTTTACAAATGGTTCAAATAACAAATGTATTGTTCCCAGCCCCGCGAGCTGTGGAATACTTAATACATTTCCTTTTAATTACCTACATTTTCAGAAGTTTCTGTTGTCATTCATTTCTGTTTATTTCTGGGACAAGTGAGTGTGGGCTGAAGATGAACAGGTGCAGGGCGTAGAGAGATTCAGCATTGGAGCCGATCCAACAAATGGCAACTCAATTAATCGGTGGGAAAGGTCTTCTGATCTATGAGTTATAGCAGCAGTGTTTACATTGGAGATTGAGGAGCGATCTAATTGAAATCTTCCAGATCCTCAGGTAGACTCAGAACCTTATTCACTACAAGTCAAGAGGTCATGGTCTCAGACTCAAAATGGGGAGGATGAATAGATATTGATGTAATTCCTTTTCACAGAGGGTGGGGAATATGTTCATAGGGAAGTAATGCAGAAGATAGTTTAGACAGGTTTAAAGAGGTAGGTGTATTTTTGATAGTAAAGGGGATGGGGAATAGGGGAGGGTTTGAAATTGACACCGACTGGTTGTACTGTTTTTTGCCCGACTCCACTGGCTTCCCATCACACAGAGGATACAGTTCAAGATCCTGGCCTCACCTTCAAAGCCCTCCATGGTCTTGCTCCCCCCTATTTCTGCGACCTAAACCGCTACCATTCTGCTCGCTCCCTCCGCTCAGTGGGCTCCGGCCTGCTTCATGTCCCCCGCCTTGCTTGCCCTACTATTGGTGGGCGGCCTTCTGCCGCTCTGCTCCCACCCTCTGGAACTCCATCGCGCAGTGCCTCCTCGCCTCCTTCATGACCCATCTCAAGACCCTCCTCTTCGACCGTATTTTCAATCTCCCTGCTTCTCCCTCTGCCTTCCACCCTGCCCGATCCTGACCCCCAGCTCGGGTCCGAAACTCTGTCTGTCCAGCGCCTTGGAAAGTCCAGCTGACATGAAAGGCGCTTTACAAATGTAATTTTGTTGTTGTTCTTTTCTGACCCTTGATGACTTTTTCAAGGTTTAGAGCGGAGTACAGGCAACTTTGCAACCAAGAGGAAATAGGTGATAGGTCAGTGATAGGGATAGCTCATGTACCTGACTTAACGGTTACAAGCAGCAACCAATCAACCAGCTTGCTGAGAAATAGTCTGCCAATCTGCCCTTCCTGCTCAATCCTCTGTGTGCAATTCTTGTAGAGTAAAGTGTTGGCAATGCATCAGAGGAGGCCTCCAGTTATTCAATCATCTCAATAATCGACGCAGCAGTCGATAATTGTTTCAGTAATGGACGAATGGTCGATTACGAAATTGTCTTGTGCTCTCCCAGCTATTCGCTTTTATTTGCTGTTTCTTTGCTTCTGTTTTTCCCATCCATCCTCATTACATTATTAATAGATTATTGCTCTTTATTCAGTCTTTTCATTCCCAGTCCCAACCAACGAGGACAATCTTTCACAGCTCAACAAACCTTTACCAAAGCAGCTGTGGGAAGCAAAGAAGGTGAGTGGATGATTGTGATGTTGCCAGTTTTAACATGTTGGAACTGAGGCTTTTTTTTCCTGTGTTGGAAATCCAGAGTCTCATTCCCTCCTAATGTTTTGCTAACTCCCTTACAAATGTCTGTTCCCTCTCCAGCTCCCTTTCCCCCATCTTTGAAAGTGAACAATTAGAATGCAAATAGATATGCTGAATGTATCAACGTATAGCATTAAAAGCCACTGAATGTGTGTGGCTGCTATCTCAGGCACCAGTTCACGTCCTTTGTCCAACTCTGCAAGTTGATCTGGTGTATTCTTAGCGCAGTCAGCCTCACTACCAGTTACAAGATGTGTTTTTTTTGTAGCAAGTTAGGTAGGGGTTTGGGACTCTCAATTGCTCTTTCCAAAATCCTGTATTGATGATACACATCTATTTTGCCATCCGGAAATGTCGTACAGTATTAATGTTCCTGGCACGAATCTGTCAGTGGTATCTGATACCATTAGTAACAAATTTACATTTACACTCTAAGCTGAAGTCAAATTCAAAGAAAAGTGTACGTTGCTTTGATGGGTTCTTCGGGGAAAACGTAGAAGCGAAGACTTTACTTTATTACCCACTTCCTTATGTATACACATGGTGAGGTCTCTGTAGCAACTGGCAATGTAATCTGGTGAACATATTTTGTCTCGAGCGTGCCTTTTCCTGATCCTATTCAAAAGATAATCTCCATTTATCTCTTGCTTGTTCTCTTTCTCAGGTTCAGTCTTTATCTTCGCGGCCCAAGTCCTGTGAAGTCCCTGGCATCAGGTGAGTTCTCATGCCCTCCACAGGAATGGAGAGCACATAGTCAGAATCTTATCAGGAGAGAGATCAGCAGCCCCAACAGGAATTGGGTCAGGGATTGTTAGAAATTGCTGTGATTTAGACCGTACTGTAGCAGATACAAATGTTTTGCTGGTGCAATAGGTCTGGCATTCAGACAGCCTGCTGGGTGTGTTATCGGTTTTATAAGGAATCTTTGCTGTAAAAAGCACTATTATATTGACATCAACTAGGGCACCTCGAGCTCTAGATTATAGTGAACTCCTGATATATTGTCACTCAAGGGAACAGAGTTCAGCGACTCAATAATCGGGGTGACTATGAAAGCAGGAGACCTCCGGGGCCACTACGGGGCGCTGTGGGTGGGTGACCAATACACACGCACCGTGCTGTGCCTGTGTAAAGCAAGCAGCTGTCAGTTTGACAGAGTGGTCCAGGCCCCCACAATTGTCAGTTTATTTGTTGAAATAAATCTACTGTGAATCACCCTATCCAGAATTGAGACAGATATTATCCTTCAGTGGAAGAACTGTATTAAAACCATCTAGAATTTCATGCATTTTAGTTGTATTGAATTTCATATTTTCCCCCTGGCAGCATCTTTCCGTCCCCGGATCAGAACCTGGGATTGTCTCATTTCCATGGGACGCTGAATACCGGCGGGTCTCTACCAGACCTCACCAACCTCCATTTTCCTTCACCTCTTCCCACTCCATTGGATCCTGAGGATACAACCTTATCGAACATCAGCGGAGGGGCCAGTACTGGGAACCTGGCTGCCACAATGACACATTTGGGTATCAGTAATTCCCAAGGTAAAAGACAGATAGAAAGCACGAGCCATTAATGAGAGAATTATTTGTGTTACATTCACACTCAGACTTAAATTCTTTCCAGTTAAAACTTTCCACTATTCAGCAGCCTTGTAAATATTAACTTGTGTTCGTTCAAGCAGGAGTTTCCTACGGCCAGGGAAAAATTCCATGAACACCTGGCACCCTCTGGTACCTAAGTGGTACCCAGGCGCCATTGTAGCCCTGACTGCTGCACCTTCTGAGATCAGCATTTTAGCACAGACTTGGGATCAAGCATCGGATCTTCCTGTTCTGTGTATCTCAGACACTCACCAAATAAACTCGCTGAGGGACCTGGGAATCCATGGAAAAGTACTTGCATCATTCGGAATGCTTATTTCCAATAGCACGGATTTCTCCTATCGGTTATTCTGTCTCAAATAATGATATTCTACTGCTTGGCCCACCTCAACACAATCTGAATTTGTGAATGAATGGTAGTGATCCACCACACTGTATGATAACCTGTTTGAATTCTAGACCAAATGGAGAGGCAGTGCTTAATGCATGTGATCACGACTGTTTGTGGGACACTGCTGTGCGCAATTGGCTGCCGCATTTCGCCCACAAAATATACAGTCAGTTCACTTTATAGTATGTTTTGTGAAGCGCTTTGAGACATCTCAAAGACGTGATACGGCGCTATATCAAATACAAGTATTATCTGTGGATTCAGGCAGACATGTTCATGCCTTGTGTTTAGTGAAGCTTTTTTTAAAAAGTTTAATTTCTTATCACTTTGTTCTTTTTCTTTTATAATCCCACCCCCCAGGTCTGTCAAGCTCTTTGCACAGCTCACTGAGTAACCCGTCCATACAGGCATCGCTGAAGAACTCCCCGCTGCACTCGCCCGTAAACAGCCACTCCCTGAGCAACCCCTCCATTCACTCCTCCCTGTGCTCATCGCTAAGCAACCCATCCATCCCCTCAGCGACCATGAACAGCTCGCCACGGCGACGACAGACCCCAGTCAGTCCTCTGACTCTTTCGCCGGGTTCAGACACCCGAAGGTCCCTCAACAAGCAGTTCTCGCCGACAATGTCACCCACACTGTCTTCAATTGCACAGGTAAATGAGGCCTCCTTTAAATTTCTCTCCTGTGTAACAGAATACATACAATTAATTGCATTTCTCTTGCTCTTCCTGTTCCCCTCCGCCCCCACCACAGCTAAGATGTCTATTGAGTTTATCTTTGTTGACAGGGTGTGACCTTGGACACAAGTAACCTGGCAATGGAGCACCTGCCTCCGTACCCACACTATCAGCACCAACCGTCACGGCAGCTACACCCATCGCAACAGCCGCTACACCAGGCACAGCGGCCGATGCACCAGTCACAACAGGCAATGCCCCTCTCAACGCAGCTAACCCACCAATCACAGGAACAGTCGCATCAGTCATGGCAGCCGCAGGGACTCTCTGCGATTCATCCTCTCTCTCAGTCCACGATGATAGACGTGAACTCTCCCAATGTGAGTATTTGGAATCTGGAAAGAGAGGAGGCCCATTTGGCTCATTGAACCTGCTCCGCCAAAGCCCCATTTCAAGACAATCGCACTCCCCTCCCGCTAATCCCACTCCCCACCCTCCTCGCCATATCCATTAATACAGGGCAAGCGTCTTCCATTGCGGTAGTCTGGGCCCATCATGTCCTGGTGGTAAAACAAAAGCACATAAAATGGCCAACCTCCTTCATCCTATGTATATGAAGCTCCACGACAGCATTTCACCCTTAGCTCTATTTGAGACTTTGAACTCACAGACTAGGTTGACACTTCAATGCAGTGCTAGGGTTGTGTTGCATTGTCAGAGTCCTTTGTGCCGATGAGATGTTCAGATGGATGTAAATGAACCCATAGAACAGATAGAGCAGGCATTAATCCTTATGTGAGCAAACAAAATAATGTGCACGGTAGCCTCCAAATATACAGTCGATTAATTTACAGTATGAAAGTGTGCTTTGAGAAGTCTCGAAGTCTTGATAAAGTGCTATATCAAATGCAAGTATTATTATTATTTTGCATCTTTGTAATGCAATAATCTAAATGGGCTGATAGCAGCTGAGGTGTGGTGTCTGAAGATGGTCACTGGCATTGCTCTCCTAAACTTTGCTTCTTTATTTCAACAGAGTGAAAGTATGGAGAGTATACTGAATGACTCTTACTTTGATGAGCACCTTGTCATCCGCCAGGCTAACACACTGTCTCAGCAGCTCCGCAAGTGTTCAGGCAACAGGCAGCAGGTGGAGATGCACACTCCCCTCGGGATGTCAGGTTACGACTCATTCTTGGTACGCTGAATGCTTTACAAAGTAGCGCCACTCGCAGTGTTTTTCATCACGTTTTTCTTTCATTGAAACCCAACACAGGAATCTAATCCTCTGTACAAGGAGAGGAACTCCAGCAGTTGCCTTGACCCCAAAGGTAGAATGCGAGCCTTCGGGATAGCTGAGACCAAGCTCACTCTACTCAATCTGACTGGTACCATTCCCAACACCATGCCAATGTATCTTACAATACATAATGAATGCTACAAAACCTTGTGTATAACAACTAGGCCAAGAATTATACCGTAGTGCAGTGCTGGAGGAACACTGCATACATATGTGGTGTTTGTGCCACATAGATAACACCAGGGGCCATGGGTTGACATAATTGGGCAGCCTAAGCTTTGTGTTTTTCACATTGCATAAGTAACTCCACCTTATATCTTTATTGCTCAACCATTCGTCTGGGCATTTTCCTCGACACGCAGGTCTACTCTGTCTCAACCCTTTTTCCAGATGCTGTGTTTTTTCCATGGTGGTGATGGGTCTGTGTTCGTATACACATTGGGACAGAAGTGAAACTCACAGGTTCTTTTATCTCTCCCGTGCCGGAACAGTACAACATGCTGGAGAATCCTAACAGCACTTTTCCCATGAGTGGCACGAGCTACTGTGACCAAGGTTCCAATGTGAACTACTCGCAGGCATCCACGATGGGCCTGACAGGAAGCCAAGGGAACCTTCAGGACGCGATGCAGCTGAAACCGAATCTGTTCTACTCAAACTGTACTGGAAGCATCCCCAACATCATTCTAACAGGCAAGCAGTTTTTCTCATGTTTCTTGTTTTTTTTGCCACTTTCATGGTCATTGTTTCTCTGAATGTCCCTCTCTTGCTTTTCCCTTGCTCCAACTCTCCCCCCTATCCCCTACCCAGAAATTCTTGAAGTTCTTCCTCCCTATATATATCCTCAGTGAAATCCAAACTCATGTAAATCTCTTCCATCTAACACACACAAATGACCATCTTTCCCACTATCTCCCCCATATGTAAATGTTTCATTATATTCTCGAGTAACTGTTTTTGTCTCATTTTAGAAGTAAAGGCTTTGCTTTAAAAAATATTCCTTTATATTTGAAGTACGCACTTAACAATATTCGTTCACCCCCTTCAGCTCCCGCCCCCAGCTCAGGTGCCAAGCCAGTGCTGTTAATGCTTTGGGACAGACGTTCTCTTGACGTGCAAAGCTCTATAGAAATGTAAATTTGTATTATGTTCAAAATAATTAACATGTCTAGTGCGAATGTTGGAAAAAGGAAATAAAAATTGGAAATGTGCAGTGACTCAGTCAGGATCTGAAAGAGGATAGATTAAAATTTCCGTTGCAGCCTTGTATTGAGTTTCTACTTAAGTGTGTTTTTAAAATATCGAGTCTGTTATCTCTACACAACTCTCAATTCTCTGTCACGCCATTCCTGACACGGTATGCTTAGTATATTTATTTGTACGTTTCATTCCCCTGCCCATCCTCTGCCTCCCGGAAAACATGGGCTACTTTTTCTCTGTCGTTTCTTGACTTTTGGCTCTTGTGTTGATTAGGGGATTCTTCTCCAAGTCTATCAAAGGACATCAGCAGTGCACTCGCTGGCGTTCCAGACATTACCTTTGGGACCGATGGCAGTCTCCATCTGGACGACGAGTTGAAGATAGAACCACTCACCTTAGATGGATTGACCATGCTCAGCGACCCAGATATGGTGCTGCCCGACCCCACAGTGGAGGAGACATTCAGGACAGACCGACTGTAGATGCTGGGATTGTGTTCCCCAATCAGTTTGTGGAAGAGGGAAAGCAGTGAGAATGTACAGACACTGACTGAAGAATTGAGCATTTAAGCCAACAAGACCAGACTGATTCATTTGGATTCAAACTTACTTTTCTGTAAAACCATTGAAGCAACTTAGTCAGTGCATTTGTTGTATTCTGTGTGCGAGCTGTGTGGCTCACTGTGTTGAAAATGGTTTTAATAGTTAGCTGGTTATGTACTAAAACGTTACTCTGCATTAGGTAAGTGATTGTACTGGAACCTTACTTAGGTTCCTTACTTACTTAGAACCTTATTTACATTACTTAGGTGTATAAGTCAGCCAAACCGCCTACATGAGGTAAAATATGATTCATTTTTATTTTTGACTAAATCTACATAATTCTAAACCACTAAATCCAAACAAATAAGGGTGTATTCTTTGGTATTTTGTTGAAAATTTGCTCTGGTAAATCAGTAATCCCATGTGCAAACCCGGTGTTGTGGGCTGGCAATGGGATAGGTTGTCAATGCAAGACGTGGAAGTGGCTTGAAGGAGAACCCACCTCTACAGCCTCTGCTCGTCAGTGTTCTGTTTGGATCCTGGTCAAAAGTTAGTTTAGCTACAAAAACGCTCGTCTTTCTCCATCCTCACATTCGCCACACCACCTCAGTTTTTAAAATAAAATTAGGAACATGAACTTAGCCAGTACTGATCGGCAGTAGGGGTAAAAATAAACCAGGTAAACTGGAGAGTTGATTCGTATCATCTAATCTGGAGGTTACGTAGTATTTTTAAAAGGGAAGTGCCCCTTGAAATTGCCACTGGCATGGATCTTGCTGGACTTAAACCTCAAGTATATGGAGGATATATATCATGTTCAAAGAATGAAGAAGGCCCTACTGGTAGCTAATCATTCTCTACACTTGACGATAATTATCTGTGAAGCGCTTTGAGATGTTTGGGTGTAAAGATGCTGTAAAAATGCAAGTTCTTTCGTTAGTGTATTAGAGAAATCAAATGATGGGAACAAATATTTTTGCTGAAAGAGAATCGTTTAATCCTTAGCACTTGGAATCCACTGCGATTGGACTTCTGGATCAAGATGGAATGGGACATGTTACATCCTATCCTGTGAGGATAGGCTGTAGAATTGGGCTTGCTCTGTTATTTGCTATCCATGGAATGCTTCAATTATTGTTGTGATAGAATAATCCCAATTGTATAAATATTTTTAATACACATTACATATTGCCTGCTACTTTTTCTTAACAAGGTTTTATAAAGTTTTTAAATGAAAGTTCTGTACATTATAAACGGATAGCAGCATGTCTGTGTGCTGTATATAGTAGAGCGATTATATATCGGAGAATATCTTTCTAAGACCTCAGAACCGTCCTTTTAAACTGACTGCCTTACTCTACCCTAGATCTGGAACATTAGTATAGAGCAGGTCTCTGGGAAGCCCAGTGCCCATCACTTCCTTATATTCTTATGGAAATATCAGGCTACCAATCGTGGCTCGCTTACTGAAGCCATTGCCCCAGTGTGACACTGAGCTGTACATACCTGAAAGGTTACAATTAGCCTCAGTGTCCTGAGGGAGGGGAGAAATCAGCCAATCTCCTGATATTTTGAAGGCTTGTGTACGTGTGTATGCCAGGTGGGGACAGGATAAGGGCTTGGTCATGGTAACCTGTTCCTTCTGTTGTCAAATACACCTTGTCTCGGCATGACCAGTCTGTCCGCAACACAGGTCAGCGCCTTCAGGAACGTAGATAAAATAAATGCTGGTAAATTCTAAGACCTGCAGGCACACCCCTAGCTTGTATTTTTAGATCGAGTCCAGGAAGGGTTTTGTCTCTTGAGTTTGTGTTTCCTTAATCTGCTCTCTACAATCCATTGAATTTTATCAATGTTGATTTTTTTATTAAAACAAATTCTAGCAGGTTTTAATTTATTCTGATCTATTGAGCTGTGCTGTTCTTACCTTCCTTTTTGTAATACGAAGCTGGTCTGTTTTAAAACTACTAATTTTATTAATTTGTATTGTAGTGTTATCAGTCGTGTTTCCCATAACTTCTTTTGTTACCTTTTGAATGATGTTGTAAAATGTACAGTAATATTTAAAGAGAGTCTTCTGTAAGCTAGCGTTACTTTTTGTAAAGCGTCATTTTGCATTCTTTCTTTCAAATAAAAAAAATCTCCACGATTTGTTATCCATATGTTTTCTCCCCTGCCTCCAACTAAATGGCCCAGAGAAGAAACATAGAGCCTGATTGACTGATCTGAAACCTCTCCTTCTCCGACGTGCACCTTCCTCTATCTTTATAAAGATAGTGAGTGGCAACCCTGACTGCTCCCCAGCTAAGATAAGTTAACACACGAGTTCCAGCCTACAATCTTCTACTCTATCTATACTCTTATCATTTTTCATTAAGACTTTAATTGTTTGTTTTTCTGTTTAGCCTCCTCATGTAAACCAACTTTTGTAAATTCTATTGCAGATTTGTTCCAGGGAATAAGCATTGTTTCAAAATGTGCCTTGTACGACCATATACACTTCTGTTCTCAGTCCTCTGTCATTCTTCGATCTTGTAGTTATCAGCTCTTTGGTCAAACAGTTGCACAGGTGATGCAACTGGTTCCTGAGATTAACTTTCTGAAACTGAACGTTTAACAAATAGATGCTCTCTGTGCTCCTGTTTCCAGTTTAAGATGGGATTCCAGTTTAATAACCCTTTCCCAATCCTATGAATGTTACAGAGGTTCCCACTAGATGGCAGTACATGTTCAGGAGAAGCGACCGGTTGCAAATGTTACTGAATAACATCCACCAGATGTTCCCTTTTAATCAGGCTTCACTGATTTGAAAGTTGGCTAATGCTCTCAACTATGAGTGCAGAGGTTCTGCGCTGGCAGAGGGAGACAGAAACATGATGTGGGGAATAAACAAAATTTAAATGATCTGTGCCAAAGGTGCATGTTGCTGTTCTGTGAAATTACAGAATTTTACAGCATAGAACATAAGAACATAAGAATTAGGAGCAGGAATAGGCCATTCGGCCCCTCGATCCTGCCCCGCCATTCAATAAGATCATGGCTGATCTATTCTAACGCCTCCTATCCGTCTTATCCCCATATCCCTGGAGAAGGCAGCCATTCAACCCATTGTGGCTGTACCAGCTCTCTGAAAGGTGTCTAATCAAAGCCCCTACCTTTTTAAGAGTCCTATACTCAGTAGTTAGAGCACTTACCTCACAAGCGAGAGGACTTGGGTTTGATTCCCGGCAGAGCGAAACGTTAGGAAAGTTTCCTTACTCGACAGACCTCTGCTTACCTGGCAGTAAGTAGAAGCCCGGTTGTTAGTCAATTGGCAGATCGCTTTTTCGGGGGTAATAATCCCTTCAAAAAAATTATAATTTGGTAACTCAAACCATGACTGTTTGTGGGACAACGCTGTGTGCAATTGGCTGCCACGTTTTACCCACAAAATATATAGTCAGTTCACAGAATATTCTGTGAAGCGCTTGGAGACATTTTGAAGACGTGTTAAGGCGCTATGTCAAATGCAAGGATTATATTATTATTTGCCTTACAGTTCACGGCTACAGATGATGTTACTTATGAAATCATATTAACATCCACCTGAGCATGCACACAGGACCTTGGGTTGATAACATCTTCCAACAGATGGCATCTCAACTATCTTCTAGCACTGCACGGCGATGGCAACCTAGACTAAGCGTAAATGCTGACCTGAAGCTTGAAGCTCCAGCCTTCTGACCCAGAGAGTGAGAGTGCCAAACTAAATGTTTCAAATTTCAAATCATAGTCCATCAATTTAGTGTATTTCATTGTTTATAAAGTCATCCCTCACATTTAGCTCTACTGTTAACCCTTTTACACGTGTTGATAATTGTGACAATGCTATCTCTTCTGGTTTCAAATGGAATGCAGGCACAACGGCAGATAACCTGTGCGCTTGGAATGTAGTCTCTGCAGAACAGATGTATAGTCTTCTGCAGATTGACTGTCTCAATGATTGGCAGGAACAGCCCAGTGTTATGTACAAGTGAGCTGCACATCCTTGCACATACTGCAGATGTCTTACATGTATCGTAGAGTACGTTAAGTTTTTTTTGAGGTTCCAACTAGTAATATCAGGCTATATGCAAGTGTTCCTAGCTAACAGTTGCTCAGTATTACTACAAGACCATGTAGAGACACGCGCAACTATCAAGCAATGTACAGAGGGTTTCACTAATAATATCAGCGAATATAGAGGTGGTGTGCGCTGTGTTTAAACTCACATATATAAAAAAAATCTTTCTCAGTGTCAATAATATCAACACATTTAAAGCACTTCACAATAATTAGCATTGACTGAAGTGTCTGTTTATTAAGGTAAATGTAAACGTGGTCTTCATTTACACTTTTGTTTTCTGCACATTAAAATTGGTAGGGGCATAGGGGGTGGGAGGGGTGCGGAGGAAAGAACCAGAAATGTTTAGTTGTTCAGTGTTTACAACCGGTGTGAGACAGCAATAAACAAAGCAAACAGAATCCTGTGCTATGTTGACACATTAGTTGTAATTAGATTCCACAAAATGCCATGCTGCATGGCACTCTGGTCAGACTGTATGTAAAGTATTGTGTATAGTTCTGATTGCTGTAACAAAAGGATCTAAAAACAAAGGAGAACAACAAAACAAATCCCGTGTTGGATGGATGAGTTATGAGTACGACTAAATTAAGGTGGGGCTCTTTAATTTAGAAGAGACTCAGAGGATACCTTATTGGTGTCAGCCTGTCTCAGTTGGTAGCACTCTTGTCTTGGAGTCAAAAGCAATGTGGGTTCCAGCTTCATGTTGAGGCCTTTGAGCTTATTTGATTGCACGTAAACAAAACCATTGGACGTGTGCTCAATGCTACGCATGCGATGTGCAGTTCCACATCTGTGGCTTTTCCATCCATACGTCCCACAGGATGGCTTCCTATAGTTACTTTACCATAGAGTGCATTGGGGTACAATGGCACACAGTGGCTGGCTTGTGCTTCCAGAAACTTTCTGGGTAAAAAAGAAACTTGTTGTGAAACTACCCACAGAGTTGCAGTCTCTTGGGTATTCAGTAACTTGGGCCAGATTGTGTGTCATGTACAAACGGAACAGCATATTGTCCAGATCACTTGACAACATTTACTTAGTCTGATGCTATTTGAAACTTCTTAAGAAGAAAACAAATTTCCCAGAAAGCTTTATTATTATTGGTGCAAAGCCAAGCTTTTAACTTCAATAAAAAAATATTTTTTTTTACTTTCCCTTTACGTAGAATGGAGAAGAAAAGAAGTACTTTAACTTTGTCTGATCCGATTCCCAAAGCTCTTGAGTTTTGATTGGTTTTTAATGCCTGCCCTGGTTTAAAATAAAATAATTCGGATTAATTTGTGCTGAGGGATTGTTAGGATCTTTGCTTGTTGTTCAAGGGGGTGTTGGGGGCGCTGGGGGGAAAGTTCGAGAAACCTGCTTTAAAAGTTGTACTTTGCAGAATATGTTTTATTGACATTTTATAAAAGCCAAACAGCTGCATTGAAAAGGCTCCTCCTGCCTGTGCCAGACCTATCAAGCTAGCAGGACAGAGGGATATGCTTATTTTCTTAGAAGAGCCTGTGGGTCAATAATTCCATGAGGTTACAAAGCATTGAGTCCATGTTTACTGATACAGATCAATATCACACTGAGCTCCAGTGTATTACTCAGTATCCGGCATGGAAGTGGCTTGGAGTCAACACTTCACAAACTGCAAGGGCTTTACGCTTTAGGAATTTCTCCCCTTGCAGATCACCAGCTTCCCCCCCCAGATGCTCACTGTTACTGGGCTGCATTCTGCTCGATGCCTCCTGTAGGAAACACTCCCCATCCCTCACCACCGATAAATAAAATGACTGTAGTCAATCTTTCTCCCTCTCTCAAAAACATTAAAAACATGGATATTTCAGCATGTAGCAAACCATTCAGTCCATCGTGCCTGTACCACTCCATGGCTTTTTTAAAAATTGTCCTTCCTTATTAATCTAGCTTTTCAGCTCTTTCCACTCGTATCCTTATCCGCACTCAGCTTCTCCTGCCCCTCACCCTCATCCTCCCCAGGCTCCCAGTAGGTCAGCTTCATGATCCTCACTTTCACTTACAAATCGCTTCATGCCCTCTCCCCTTCCTGCCTTCATGATCTTCTTCAGACTCCCGCTCATCAAACTCAGCCCTGTGGCTATTCATCACCTCATCCACAGCCAAGCCTTCAGCCACTAGAACTCTGTCCCTCCACTTCACATCCTCTCTGTCAGTCTTTAAAAACTTCCTGAAAACCTGCCTCTTCAATTCTGCCGATAGTCATCTCTCTTTCCCCACCGTTCCTACTCGGTTTTCCGTACTATCTCTGTGGAGCGCTTTGAGATATCACTCCATGTGAAAGTACTAGTTGTTTCCCCTTCCCCGTAACCCTCTAATGTTTTTACTACGAGGTGCTTATCTTCTGCAAGAGATGCTGAGGCTGGAGGTGACCAGACCGGGGGGAGGGGAGTGGTGGCGGTGAGTGGGGGAGTCACTAGATGCTGGCCAGGAACAGGAATCCTGGCTGAGATTTTTCTCTCTCCCCTTCCGAGTTTCCAGCTGGGGGCTGAGGCTAGTTACACCACCAGTTGCTGTGCATTCTAATCCAGATTTACCCCAAGGGACAACATAACGTTAATCAGAACGCTGAACCTGAACGTTCTGGGGTCAGAGAAACGTCTGCTTCTGCCTGCTTGACATCTGTTGCATTGGCCTCACTAATAGGTCCCGTATTTTGCACTCAAGAGTTTGCTGCGTGCCAGCATGACAAACATGCACTTAATCCGGATTTGTCAAAAGAATTTCTAACATTCAATAAAAAATATAATTTTTCAGATGAAGTGTTATGTTGCTCTTTGCTGAGCGAGCTGAAGATTACACGGAACCCAAAGTCATTCCAATCAGCGAAAAGGTAAGACTGACTAATCGGCGAGATCATTTTAAACAAGGTTCCCACCCAACCAAAGAATCTGAAATAGAATGTAGGCAAAGGAAACAGGGAACCATGTGTGATATCAGAGTTTTCTCAATTCATAATTCATAATGTGATTATTAGATAGTGTTTAAGGGTCAGCCTGGCTCACTTGGTAGCATTCTTGCCT